GCCCCAGCCCGGCCCCGGGTCCCGCCGCCGACCCCGCCGCGCCGGCCCCCGACGGCAGTCCTCCCGAGGCTGAGAGGAAGGAGGAGGCAGGCACTGCCGAGGCGAAGCCGGATCCTGGGCGCACTCGGAGAGAGGAGCCGGAGGAAGAGGACGACGACGAGGACGATCTCAAGGCCGTGGCCACCTCACTTGACGGCCGCTTCCTCAAGTTCGACATCGAGCTGGGCCGCGGCTCCTTCAAGACCGTCTACAAGGGGCTGGACACGGAAACTTGGGTGGAGGTCGCCTGGTGCGAGCTGCAGGTGAGGGGAGCGCGCATCCCTGCGTGTGCGCCCTTGGGTGCGTCCTTGTTTCATCGCCGAGCCCTCTTCACGGGCGTTGGGAGCATCAAGGCAGTGGCGGTGGTGTGTGTAGGTGGCCAGCTGGGCTGTTCCAGGTCTGCCCCCAGGTGGAGTTTGTGAGCAGCCTCCGCGTGGGGGCGAAGGGAGGCGACGGGGTGGGTGTGTGGTGGGCCGCAGTGTGTTGCCCAGTGTGGGGCCTACAGGAGAATGTGGGTAGAGCACCTCGTACCTACCAGTCTGTGCTCCTTTTTTGGACCTAATACTGAGCTTTGTTGTCCCAGGTAGTCTGGATGACTGGTCCCTGCTGCACCAGAGTGGGGGCTGAGGATCCAGGCAGTTTCAGGGTGGTTTGGGAGCTCTGAGCTGCGATTTAAATTAGCACCTTCCCGGGTCCTGCAAGTTGTAGGTACCCTAGCCTCTGAAACCTGCAGGGGGCTTTTTCTGACCTGGGAGGTCTCTGAGGTGTGATCAGGGCGCTGTAAGTCTGGGCAGACCTCCTGGTGCCCTGAAGCTCCTTCATAAAATGGACTCGTGAGTGGCCCTAGAACCCAGGCATTCACCATATGGTGGGGATGTTTTGGGTTTTTTTTTATGCAAAACTCTGGGCATGCATTTTTCATAACCTTGCCCTCCTGTTGGCTGTGTCATCTGCAGCACTAGATTATATAAACGGTAACCCGAGCTGTTCTGGCTGGGGTAACACCCATTACAGTGGGTGTTATGCCCGCCCCCCCTCGTCAGACACGGGTGGCCTTCTTGTGAGAGGGCCGGGCAGTGGAGGTGTAAACCTACCCGGGGCCCTGTAAAGTTAGCTGGACCTTCCAGGCCTGACGGGGGCCTGGCAGGCCATGGCAAGCCAGCCTCCAGGGCTCTGGGCATACTGCAGCGGCCTGTCTTTTTGGTTTGGACATGGGATTAAGTGCCTGTGTTCTCCGGCCTTGCAGTGGGATCTGTGTGTGCATGTGTGCGTGTGTGTGCATGTATACAAGCTGGGCTAATTCGGTGGGCGTCAACCTGTTGTTAGCTCTTCTCCCCAGACAAAGAGCTCCAGAGGCCACCCTGCCTGAGCCCCTGAGGCTCTGTCATGGGACACAGGCTCTTCATAATGGGGGTCAGTGGGTCTCACCCTGTGCTGGTGGGAGGAGGAGAACAGGAGAAGCTCCCTTCGCTCATGACCCTGCAGGTCTGGACCTGCTGAGGGGTGGCCTTGGTGGTGCATGGTAGGCAGGTGGGTGGGGGGCAGGGGGCTGTGCTCTGGGGTCATGGGGATGCTGGCGACAGCATGCGGGTGAGCTGGGCGTCACTGTTGCATGAGAGGGCAGTGAGCAGAGAGGACTAGGAGAGAAACAACTGCAGGGGAGAAGGTGATTCTTGATTCCAAAGCTGGGCCATGAGTGTCTTCCCCCACCCCTGCTCTTGCCAGAGTGACCCAGTGTGACACACCGAGCTCCACTGGTGGTCACACTGCTGAGTTGCATCCAAAGGCTGGAGGACTGAGTGGGGATGCTCCAGCAGGCCGGATTTGAGTTAGACCTCAGTAGCCTGAGCCCTGCTGATTTTGTTGAAGCACTGCAGGAGCATGTGATCACCGAGGCTGCTAACTCCCATTCCCTTTAAGGAAAGGCAAGAGATTCTGTTTCTGGGACATAGAGCCGGGTACACGGGGTGGAGCCTGGCCTGTGTCCAAGGGCCTTTGGCTCCCTGCCTTTTAGGTGGGAGTAGGAGGGCCGAT